AGAAGGAGGACGATGAAGATGGATTAGGGAGTCAGGCAGAGAAGGAGAAACAACGATAAGAGAGGGAACTTTACCTGTCTCCAGTTAGTGGAAGTATTACAACTGCTTTGGCTGAGAAGACTATGTAAGAAACCCTCATCCTGGGACTGAAAAACACAAACACACACGAAACTTATGAATGTTATCTGATCAATATCAAAATTTATTAGTAGATTTGGACTGTGTGTCAACAAAAAGGATTCTCCCAAGTGCTACTACATAATGATTAGCTTTTGATCGGACAGAAAATATAATAGTCTGCGAGGGTGTAAACACCAAGAGCAATAGGACTGCATGAAATACAGTGATAAGATGAGATGAAGCAAAACATGACATGACATAAAATTACATTACATTATTCCATTACTTTTTGGGAAGGTGTTCCAAGATGGTAGTGCATGTAGAAGTACTAGTGCATCATTACATAGCTCTATGTGCACTTTTGCATCTGTTTCCATTATCTGTTTAAATGCACCACTGTATTTCACTGTTATGTCATGTTATGTGAGCGCAGCACATCATAATAATACATGACACTGCATGACATATTACACATACATATATACAACACTGTAACAGAACATAACATGATATTATATGGCACTGACGTGATGTAATAAAGTGTATTGAAATGAAATGCAAAACACAGGAAAATACTGTATATGACATGATTTGACTCAGCATAACACTATTAAATCAAAACATAAATTAGCATACCACGAAATGAACGTGGCAATTACTCAAGCAGTATTTCATTTTACTAAATGTTTTCTGTTACAGTTGGACTGGTCAATAGACAAACGGGGAATTGAGTTTCTGACCCCCGGCCGTTTGACTTCATCAGTCTACCCCTCAGCATCCCCTTCAACATCTGGCTGGATGTTTTGCTCTTATATTTAGCAACCCACTGTTAAACCTAAAGATATCACACACACACACACACACACACACACACACACACACCCTCTACACCGTTACCCGGAGGAACTTTGGAGCAGTTGGTGGCCTTGTATGAGGTATGCTCCCCAAAATAGACTTGCCCTACTTTTCTACTCACTACTACTGTTTGTATTGAAATTGAAAGACCTATACTGACTCCTTGCTGTGTAAGTACTCTTTATTTTATTGATTAGCTTTCAGCTGTATGCATTTCATTTGGTTTTAATGTGTCAGGTTTTTATTGTGTAAATAGCCCTGAAATCTGGGGAGGAGGGGATGAGAGGAGAAAGCACACAAAATGTACTTACCTGACAAACCTGTTGGTGAGCTGCTCCGCAAATCCATAAATCTCATCCCAGTGTCTGGCCACACTGCCTGACCTGCAAAAACAGACAGCCCAAAAGTGATAGATCACAGACACCCAAAGACTGAGAAATCAGATAATCCTATATATAATTTAACCCCAAGCATTTGATAAAAGAAGTTTATAAAAACAGGAGAATGTCCATTACAACATCCTTCATTTACAGGTATAAAACTTATATTTTTTTGTATGAGCTACATAAATATAGTTTTGATTATTCAATAATGAATCTGATTTCCCAAACTTCCAGTGCAGGCCTGATGCGAATGGAAAAAACAATTCACACCCAGAATGGCAGCATAAAGGCAGAATGGGTTTTGGTCAGTTTATTCTCTTGTTGTGAGCTTCCTTGAACCAGAACAAACATATAACACACACATCATATATTCTGTTATTGTTGTGTCTGTCGACAACATAATAGACCAGAGATCAACTTTATTAGTGAACTTTCTCCAAGCATACACCCCAACCACTGATGGACAGAACAGAGAAGATTAAAAATAAACTTGTCAAACCTGCAGAGACGCAGCAGAGGAACATGTTAACTAAACACAGCCATACATGGAGAGGACTGAATCAAAGACTGCCTCTGCACTGAGGTAACAAATATTAAATGAATATGTTGCTCTGTGCCCGTTGCTTCCTTTATTCCTCCTCCTCCAAACCACACATACAGTCTATGATACAGACACATTCAGTATCCGCACAACTCACCTGTCCAAAACAAAATAAACATCAAACGCTCCATCGCAAGAAGCGTCGTCGCCATCATGCAGCGATGAATTTACAAAAACACTAACAAAAAGTAGGATTTGGCAACATATCCATATTCCATCCATAATCCATGCGTTTCTCATCAGCCGGTGCAGCTATGAGTGCTTCATCTTCGCAGCATCAGTAGCTCACATGTTGAACCTCTGTGTGTGTAAGAAAGCACGGTATGTGTGTGTTCACTGACAGCAGCAGGCTGATAACGGAATAAACGGGGCAGGGCACACATCTGCTGCACATACTAATGTCAAAGCAGCTGCAATAGCAACAGGACCGGACATCCCTCAGGATCCTTCAAATTAAAGAAGCATTAATGAATACTGAATATACAGTTTAGAATAAATACGTTTTGACATTCTTATTTGCTTTGATATACAATTCATCTTTTTTGTATTTATGTAAGCTCGCCATGTTTAGCCTATTTCTTTTTTTTATATGTAAAGTATTTATCCATTGGGTTGTATTACAGGGATCATGCACTTTAATAAACATTGTTACAAATGCAAAATGTATTTCCGTAAAAAATGAATTAAAACAGTTAATGAAATTAAATAATGAAACTAAAGTAAATTAATTACTTGAATAGTTTCAAAGCTTTGTTTAACACCGGAGACAGTACAGCCTATATTTTCAGACACATGTAGATGTAAGTAAATATTTAAGCAGTTGGCTATTTGGAAAATCAGTACAACATGAATTTCTATTGTGAAAAATGTAATCCCACGCAATGCATTTAATGTTATGTTGCAAAATTATGAAAAGTAAGTAAGAATGTGTGAAAAAAGTTTTAAGAAATTTTATTTAATTTCATAAAATATTTTCCTTCATTGTGCTTTGCTATGCTCTTTTACTTTGAAGGCGAAGAATCTTTCTGTTGCTCATAGTATTAGAATTGATCCAGTTGCTAGAGCAGTTGGCAGAAGGATGTAAATAGTGACTGACTGACTTAACATAAATACAGAGACAGATCATGTAATGTAACTGCATATTTGAACAATAACTATTCCTGCATTTGTTAATATAAATGTGAGGTGTGCTGCTTCCCTTCCTTTTCAATTTGTTTAAACTAGGGTGCCATGTTTCTAGATTTTTTGTGTGATAATGATCAATTCAGCAGAGGCTTATTACAATGCATATCTAACTTACAAACCACTCTCCCGATAATTATCAATGCACTGTTTCCCTGGCAACGTTTTTTCTGTTCAGGACAAACAAATGTATCATGTTCCTGTAAATCTATTGCAGATGGAAAAAAGAATTGAACAGGCTAACACAACGCCCTTGGTATGTCAGAGATTTGCTCCCTTGCATGACTCCGATCCAGAAAGTGACCTCCCAAGAGCAGATATTAAGCCTGATCCTTTGTATCTAGAGATAAACAAATCAGACTCTTGACAGTGTGATTAAACCCATTTTTTGATTGTTTGCAAGCATGTTTCTCCAACATTATAACATGGCCAAGCCCTCCAAAGCTAAACCTAATCTCTTAATTAAATATCATCAATCTGAGGCGCTCAACACACTCCAGGAGTCTGTATGTATCACTGCAAGGATGCAAATCACTCACTGCCTGTGGCTTCCTCATAAATTTAATTTCAACTCTTAAGAAGACTAAAGTCATGACAGCAAACAACTCAAATAATAACATACCAAAGTCATTGTGTCAGCAAATAGCATGTCTCATCTGTCTCAGTTTATGCTAGGCAGGGATCGCCCTTGGGTATTTCATGGATGGCTGTTATGATTTGTGTAATAAGTGCTTTATTTGAGGGTGTAGCTGGACTAGAAGACAAGGATGCTTGTGTCCTTTCCAACTGTCTATCTTTCCTCTCTATTCGGATAAAGACAAAAATAATCTTGCTTAAAACAATTAGTGTGTAAGACGCAGTCTATTAAAGTTAGTCTGTCATGTTCAACCTTTTCAATCCCACTGTCTTGCCAATAGGAAAGTCAGTACAAGCTCAAACTGCACAGCCAAACACTGTTCACACCCACAAAAGTTCATTTTTCAAATTCCCAAAGTGAGAGTTGTCCAAAGATGTCAAATATGATAGGCTGAACTTTAGAAAAATGTGTATAAGATGATGTTATGAAGCCATAAAGCATGTTGAATATTAAGAGCAATTAATGCAGGAACAAGATGATAAAGAATTACCGTCAAATAATGTGGAACGAAATGCTTTCCCCAAATTCAAAGCCGCTTGAAGTGGACAGTAAATGACACTGAAGATTGAGACCTCAATTTAAAATGGGATACGCTTCCTGTCAGTGCTGCAGGTGGATGGACAGACACCTGTTGCCAGAAGAAGGACTGGTTCTGTTTTGTCCATGCTAAAGGGACTGATGGCAGAAATAAGGGATCAGCAGTGTCATCCAGATATGTCAGAGATGCTCTGCTTTTACCTCAGTGGAAAAACAAAACAGAGAGAAAAGCTTGAATAGTATGTGACCACAGTCAATCCCTCCATCAAATCCAAAACAAATTGATCTTTTAGGCTGTGACCACAAATCCAGACCATTAAATAAAATATCACATACTGTCAGTAAACAATCTGCATTACAATTACACTGACATCAAAAGCACGGGCGTGATTTTCTTTTCAGTTTGTGGTGGAGTTGTCTTCTGGGAACTGCTCACACCACAATAAAATACACTGTAGAACATGTAGTGTTTACAGAAAATAAACTTAAATCCGAGCCTGTAAATAATTTAATTAGGATTCAAAAGATATTTTTTGCAGCAAAGTCCTGGATATTTTTTTATAGGTATTTTAATAGTTTAAATAATTGTCTATAGATAATGCATTCCTCCATACCTGCCAGTTGGTGGCAGTAATGTACCGTTTCATTGAAGTCAACAACAACAAAGAGAAGAAGACAGGTTTGCTGGTGTTGTTCAGGACCTGGCTGTTGTATCTAATTTTATTTTTACTAAAATGTTGTGCTTTTCAACGCCATGTTAGCTTGCTAGCTTTCTGGACATGGCTCCTTTACCCGAACAAGGACGTCGACAGTCGGACTGCGACTAATGGTGAGCTTTGTAACGCTGTTTTCAAACAGTTTGGCTGGATAACATAAAATAATGCCTGTCAAGGTTAGCAGTAACGTTAGCTAGCTGGAGTTTAGCCTGCTGACATGGCTTCGCAGGAACAGAGCGGTGTGACATTCAGTTCAAAGAAGTCATTACGTGTGTTTAGCAGTTTTTAAAGCTTTTATCCCAAAGCCGGGGAGACAAGGGTAAAAAGCTGTGGATGTATTTCAGAGTGTTAAACAAAGGCATTCAAACTTTGGGATGGAGGACAGGCAGCAGCAGCAGCTCTAGCTAGTGACATGTTAACACAGATTAATTCACGTTTTGAAATGTGTTTAACCAACACTGGCAGTCATACTTTATCTGTTTTCTGCTCATGAATTGTCACTTGGAAAGCTAGTTTATGTTATGTTAAATACTTTACATTGGCTGAATGGAGCTAGGGCCACATACTGACCAGTTGTTTCCTTCTTCCTCTCTCCAAACTCAGCCTTACCCTCCTTCCCTTGCCTTGCACCAGAGGAGCTGAGAACAAGATGCTGCTGAAGATGCCCCAGAAGCTGCTGAAGACTGCCCACTACATAGAGCTGGGCAGCTACCAGCACTGGCCCGTACTGATACCCCAGAGGATAAGACTTTACACCTATGAACAAATTCCCCTCTTCCTCAAAGAAAATCCCTACATCACAGACGGCTATAGGGCTCACCTGCCCTCCAAGCTCTGCCTTAAGAGGTGGGAGTAAACTTGGAGAAATGTTCTGTTGTTAAAAAGGATTTTTAAAATAGGTTACATTCATGCAAACATCATCATGACTGTCATGGTTTGTGGACAATATGCTGGTGACTGTTAGTGTGTATTTACAGACTTGCCTTGTTGTATTTTTGCTCATATGTACATTTTTGTTTCTTCTCGTCCGTTGCAGCATTTTTATTCTGTCCAATGAGACAGTGAATATCTGGAGCCACCTGCTTGGCTTTCTGCTCTTCTTCTCTCTGGGGGTCAATGACCTCTCCTCAGTACTGCCAGCCTCTGGAGCTAACAGAGAGGACTACGTCATCTATGCTATTGGACTGTTCTGCTTCCAGGTAAGTTACTTGGCTGTATATACTGTATAGCGTGTGATGGGAAGCCTATTCTTTTAACTGACTGCATTTCTTCAAGTTTTTCCATCACTGTAAAACTGTAAAAATGATAGCTAAACTTTCCCTTCATCCTGACCTTTTGTTTATTATGTTATTTTGACATGACTGAATGCAAAGATTTTGTTAAATAAAAGATGCACTGCATGTTGGGATTTTGACAGTTATACAGTGTGCATCAGATGTAATAAAATAGCCTTCCCCTACTCCACCCAGAGACAATACTCACTAAAAGAAGGTGCATGAACCCGTCTATATGTGTGTGTGTGTGGAGGATTTTACTCCTTAACTATCGAACTACTACTACTGCTACTACTAAGTACTAGTTTATCATCAACATCTTCATTAGTTGAGTATCTGTATATGAATATTGGTATATGCAGTGTCCTGTGCTACGGTGTATTAACAAACTGATTTATGTAGGTTTACGTTTCCTGCCACAGGTGCACTCAGTTCACCCTGACCTGCCCAGATGTGTAAGCTATTCTACAAGTTTGGTGCAGTGTATTGTATTATAAAGTATGAATGGTAGTGTAGTTTAGAGTCCCCCTGGCAGCTGATGAATTGTTCAATGTAGAGACGGTGTTAATTGTTTGCGTGTTAGCTGTGTATGGTTTGTAATGTAGGTTGTGTAGCTAATAATGGAATAGGAAATTTGTTAATGCAATAAATAACTAAAGGAGTATATAGTGTAGTAAATGTTATCCTCTCACCTTCCTCCTAAAATCCCCTTTTCTGTCCACATAAGTGCATGTTGTGAGTATCTGGATTGTCTTTACAAATCATTATTTCTTGAGGTAAGTTCATGTGTTATAGTCACAACAGGATTTCGTTAACTTTAAATCAAAAAGGCAAAAACAAAATAAAGTGTTACTTGATGAAACCAATAATGGCACCTGTGTGTGTTGGATGTTGTGAATACTAAAATGTGACTCTGAAAATATCTTTGAGTATGTAAAGATACTGTGTGTTTTCATCCCAGGTGTGCATGTTGTGTTCAGTGGGATATCACCTGTTTTCATGCCACCGATCAGAGAAGACGTGCCGTCGCTGGCTGGCATTAGACTACGCAGGCATCTCTGTTGGCATCTTGGGCTGCTATGTACCTGGGATCTTCTACGCGTTCTACTGTAATGCTGTAGGTGTGAACATTCAAGATAGAAGTTTCTGCCCCAGTCATAGCATGTAGCATGTTCGAGGGTACACTGACTTTTGTAGAGCAATTGGATGAAGTTGGAAAAATAATGTGATCCAGAATTTCCATTAGATTATTTTTCTTTGTCTCCAGATATAATACTAACAGAGAAACAGATGCTCCAGCTGTGATTTTGCTTTATCTACTGATTTGTTGCTGTCCTGTCTTGTAGTTTTGGCGACAGGTCTATTTGCTGACGGTGCTCTCCCTGATCCTGGCCGTCTTCTGCGCTCAGGTCCACCCTCGTTACCTCAGTAACGACTGGCGACGGATACGCATGGCCATCTTCTGCTGTGTGGCTGGCATAAGTGTGATTCCTGCATGCCACTGGGTCTTGCTCACTGGTGGATTTACGTCTGATGTCGTGCAGGCAAGGGAAATACAGTCACGCTAGAAAACAAGAAAAAGTTAAAGCATGGAGGTGTATGCTTGCACATTTTTTTTTTTTTTTTACAACTCTGTATTCACTATTTTGCAGCTTTTTAAAGAGGTGTCACTCAAGTGGTCATGATTTTTATTGTTGCTCTTAAATGCCCTTAAATGCATGAATGCTTCCACTCCTAAGTATGTAATATTTAGTCAAGAAAATCTTGTTTGTTTTTGTTTATTTAATTACATGCACAGCTGTTCCTGCCTCGCGTGATAGTGATGTACCTTATTGCTGGATCTGCCTTCCTGTTCTATGTCACCAAAATCCCTGAACGCTATTTCCCTGGTGAGTCTCTGTCTCTGTCTGGTCAGATAAATTGGTATAATAGCAGATTTCTACAGTTTATACAATTTTCACAATGTGTGATCATATAAATGCCATACTATCACAAGTGAACTGTGTAGTTGTATTGAAGTGTCAACAAGTGTTAACAAATGCATAGTCATACCTCCAGAATGTGTCAGGTAGTGGACATGTAGTCGGTTTGTCAGTGAAGTAGAGAGGTTAGATAGATGAACTTTTCAGTTAACTGAGGCTACAATTCACAGAAAAAACAATCGAGACCAATTTCTTATGAAAATTCATGTAAGCTTACTGTTTATGTTTTACACATTACTGATACTATTGAGGAATGTAAAGAGACAGTGTCATTATTGCAGGGAAAAATGTTGTACGATATTATTATAGTATGAGAAAGAAAGATAAACTGAATAATTTAAATGTGATATAACTGGTATATTTGCTGATGCATAACTTATTTAGGAAATATTTTTGTTTCCAATAATAAAAAAAAAAAAACATTTCTTAGTAACAGTTGACAAAACAATTTAATCACAAGCTCCATTTAGTAGCTGTTCTGCAGCTTTGGTTCATCATATCACATGATCTTTATCAGCACCAAAAAGCCAGCTGTCATGAAATTGCAGATATCCAAATTTTCAGCACTTCAAGGATTTCTCATCCATATTGGTTTTAAAGAGTGAACTGTGAACCTAAACTCACAGTCGCAATTTGTCCCTCTGGTCTTTTCATTGTCGTTTCCTCCTGAAATGTGATTTGTTTCTGTACATTTTGAAGAAAGTACAAGAATTAACAAAGACAATAGTGATGCATAAAACAATACAGTTTTTAAAGCATTTATTAATTTCTCATGTCCTAGGTCAGCTGAACTACCTGGGCGCCAGCCACCAGTTGTGGCACATACTGGTGGTTGTGATGTTTTACTGGTGGCACCAGACCGCTGTGCACATCATGCACTTCAGGCACACACAGCCTTGCCCGACCCGCACCAGCAGGAGCTAAGTGAAACTGATCAAATAATGTTGTTTAAAGGCTAATCGGTTGTAGGTTAATAACCAGTTAAACGCACTGTTAATATTCAAAACCCTCTAACCACAACAGCTGCTGGTTAGAAGTTACTACCTAAAGGTCTGTCAAACACTAACTACCAGGAGCTCCTGACTATTAGCTGCTAAAGCTGAGAGTGTGATAGTAATGAGCAGCTAATACTTTCACTGAGCTGCTGGTTTCTGTTTATATGCTTGTGGCCTGGGCAGCTGTTAAAGGCCAGTAACCTTTCTTAAAGTCTCCTTTAACAGTAGTTATCAGTAAACAGTGGCTACAAGACTTAAGTTATCCTGACAAAAGGGCAATAGACCACAGCCTGTGATGTTTGGTAGTTCCAGGCCATTGGCTAGTAGTCAGAAGACCTAAGTTTACCCTTCAGGGACTGTAAACCGATGTCAAAAGTGATGCAGCTGCCCCCCCACCCCCCACCCGCCCCCCTCCAGGACAAAAAATACAGCATGCAACCCCTGATGTTGCATCATAACCATTAGATCAATGCATGAAGCAAGATTTTTTTTATTTATTTGTAGAAAAAACTGAGCTTTGATGTTTTTATTGATAATCATGTCCTCTCTTAGTTTAGATTGTGATTTTTGTACATCAGGAAACACAATAGCCCATTGTGAACAATTACTTTTTTGCCTGTGATTTTGGTTTATGTGTCAGTTTGTTCAAGATTAGATTGCATGAAAGGTCCTGATAAAAGGTGGAAAGCACAGAAAAGGTCATGACCAACAACATGTAGACACTGAATTGCTTTTCTCTGGAGAAATAATGTCTCAGTACCAAAAGTATTTGGAGCTTTTGAACAAATAGTTAAATGTCAATGAACAACAGTCTGCAATATCTGATGAGGTGCAGAACTGATAAAATGGAAATGTGTTTTGTCTTTGGAACAAATAAGGTGGCACTTTAACAGCCTAACAGCGTAACAGATTGGGTATCACTAGACCTTTTTTTTTTTTTTTTAATTTGTGTGAAATTACCCCCTTACAGCTTGAATTCTACAGTAAAGACAGTGAAATCACATTTTTGCTGACAGTGCCACGAGCAGTAGCATTTAAGCTCTTACTGATTGGTCAGCCACCTAACATATCAGTCATAGGGATTATCACTTATCAGCTGTAGTGGCTATTAGTTGTCACTTATCACTTATCAGTTATTACGAAGTCTACCGTAAAGGCTTGATATGTGAAAATATATTCTCTACTTGATTCTGTTGTTTAAATAAGACCAGTGTAAGGTGGCTCGGGTATTTTGGATAGTTATTTTTCCTCAGTACACTTTGGGACAGTTACATATTTTAATGATTAGGGTTATGTTTGTGTTTGTTTCTACTTAATTCCAATTGTGTTTGTACTTCATTTGCCTTATAATGTTTGAGTATTTGTACTGTATACACACTTACTGTTACACTCTGTTCTTTGGTCATGAGGTGAACATGAATCAGAACAAAATGATCAAACTTAGACCGATATCATCTTTGCTGTTACACCACAAGGCCAGTATGTTTTGTTTTTTTAATAGTGCGATCTAATTTTTAAGACAAGTTATGAATTCAGGATGAGAACAGTTACTGCTGCAGAGAGCAGAGCTGGAAAATGCACTGTACAGGTGCTAAAAGAAGTGACTTTATTTGCATTTTTTAGTGTGAGTTTTTATTTTTGAACATGGCCCTCATGATCGTTTCATCCCGTGATTGTGCATTTGCTGAATATCATTTGTATGATGGCACTGACTTTCGAGATGTATAATATTTATTTCAGTGCCTCTGTGAAAATATATTTTTAAACATTTTGAATGAATAAAGAATGCTGGAAAATAATATGTTATTGAGTTTGTATTTTGATAACTCCTTAAAGCTCAGACATAAGGTCGAACTTCTTGGTCACCTACTTACTATAATAATCACATTTTGGTTGGTGAGGAAGCACCATGTGTTTGGCATGTCCTATTTTCTGCTATTGACACCATTAAACAGTAGAGGGCAGCATTGATACAAAAGTTGCCAATTTAAATAAAAAAATGTATAAGAAAATGATGGAAATGTTGGTTGTGTTCTGTGGAGCTGCATCTTGCAAAGTTAAGGGTGGAGAGTTTTCTGTTCACTGTAAAGTGATTCATTTAAATAGCAGTTTGTAAATTGCACCGTTGTTAAACACAGGGACCTCCTGGTGACTTGGTGAATGCAGAAGATTAGCATCACATGCTCATGTTGTTAGTGACAGAAGCATTAAAGTATAAAGCCTCACTGTCCATCTTTACTACTGTGAAAAATCCCTATCTCAGTTGCTTCAGATTTATTAAAAATAATGAGGGGGGAAAGGTGTTTTTCCTTCATCTTGTGATTTAATTACTGTCTGATGGCAGTGTTGCCATCTATAATTACTTGGTTTTGGAAATATGGTAATTATGTTAGAAAATGATATACCATTATACACAGTTAGTTTCGACCAAGTAAACTGCTTGGACAAGAGGCATTCCATGAGTGCTGAAATAGGGTGTAACAGCAATGGGAATTTTAACTACATGTATCACTCCGCTTCACTGGAGTTCTATTGACCGTTAATTAGCGTCACATTAACGGTCGTTATATACTGTATGTTAAATTGCAACAAACTATGCAAAGATGAATATATTTTCCAGAAATAACATTTGAATTAAATGATGTGTGGTCGTTAAACGAGGATGGAGGGAAGAAGGCTGGATACTTCAGCGCATTACTGAGGTAGCGTGTAGATAAAGTAGCGAGCTAGCAACCTATGTGCAGGTCAGCAAAAATGTTTTTGTGTTACTTAGCATCAGTACAGTTGTGGAACTAGGTCTATTTTTGTTGGTGTAGTCAAATGAATGATAAACAAACAAATCATAATCTGTTGTTGTGTATTTAACTAATATGGCGCTCGTAGAACTGTTCTATAAAAGTAATATCACTCAAGGTCGTGATGTTGTATGGAATATCAGCACGGCTGTGATTCGGTCATAGGCACAAGCCCGTATGCCGGATATTCATTCAGTCATATTGCCTAAATGATAGTGTTTTGTTATTGTGAGTTCAGCATTTTAGATGAATTTGTGCCTCAGTGATTGATTTGTATTTTTCATTTTTTGCAGGACTATCATAAATGTTATTACCTCTGCTCCATATGATGCCATCACCCACCTCCACCCTCCTCACCAGCCCCTCACCCCCATCTCCTTCACCTCTCTAATGCTGCCATCAACATCCACAACACCTACAGTAAGACTGTTTTGTTTTGTGTGTTTCCACTTACCTTTTACCCATGCCTGAGCCTTTTATAACATTTTCTGTTTTATAGTTATCTTGTAGAGAATTCAGATGAATTCATGAAAGCCAGGATGTTGGATTAAATATTGAGAAACTATACGCGTTTGTCTGTCTGGGCATTAATGGTTTAGGATTCCATGGCACTAGATGAGTTTAGTGCTGGGAAACAGATTCAGATTTTAAATATTCTTACGTATTATTATTACTGTATTGTTGAAATTGCACAATAAATTTCCTGGTTTTTGTACAGTTAAGTTGTCATTTATCTTTTTTCATATTTAATACCAGCAGCTAAATAACAGTATGTTATTGTAATTAATACAGTAGTATACAGTATATTGTAGGTTATACAGTAGCACTGTAAAATAAACAAATCGCTGAATGCGGACAAATGCAACCCTGTCCAGTGGTACCAGATTTTCACCGACAGAGGACATATTTGCCTCGAGTTTGAACATCTGGATAAAAGTCTTCACGATTTCATGCGGGAAAGATACTTCCGACCTCTCCCTCTGAAGGAGATCAGACCGATACCGTCCAGCAGGTATGTCCTACTGTTTTCCTCTCTATCTTATAAAACAGTTTGAAAATAGATACTGGTGGAATATTGTTGAAATTAGTATTAAATGTATGACTTTAATAACTTTTCAGCTCGCCAACGCACTCTATTACTTGAAGGCTGCTTGGATGATGCATGCAGACCTCAAGTTGGAAAACGTGATGTTGGTCAACCAACAACATGAGCCCTACTGGGTCAAAGTGATTGACTTCGGCCTAGCCTGTGACGTTTCATCTGCCAGGCAGTGCTCCTACATTCCTGTAGGATCACCGTCAGCAAAGGTAGGCTCACCACCATCAATCAGTTAAGAGGGCAGATTTAAAGACTTTAGAGGCTGTGAGGTTTTTTTCAACCAGTTAACCTCCTATTTGTCAAATTACAGAACACATGCAGCTCTAACTAACTCCAGCAGCAGCAGCTAGGACTGTGCCAATTACATCCAGGCCAGCACTTCTTTGAGGAGCCACCCAGCCACGACCGTCCACTCTGCCGTCCATGCACATTCCACTGAAAGCAACCAGCCCCAATGTTCAGTCAGGTCAAGGATTAAGAGGAAGATGTATGATGATGAAGATACAGACTATAAAAAATCTAAGACTCACCACAGTGAAAGGTCAGACAGAAAGAAGTGCTGGGAAAGCTCTGCAAGTCCATCCACCTCAAGCTGCAGCAGCTGGACCCAGATTTGTGTCTGATGGTGAAGAATCTCACTCTGACCACTATGAGAGATCAGATAACGAGAACAAGGGCCAGAAAATGCCATGCAGGCAGCTCCGCCTACAGCAGCAGCCATTATTTTAACCACACCAACCATGTTCCTTCGGATCGTGTCTTAAAGAGCTTGTTCCCTATTATCAGAACACTCCGCTCTCAAAATGCAGGTCTACTTATGGCTCCTAGAGTTTCTAAGACTAGAATGGGAAGTAGAGCCTTCAGCTGTCAGGCTCCTCTCCTGTCCAATCAGCTCCCAGTCTGGGTTTGGAAGGGCAGACACCCTCTCTACATTTAAGATCAGGCTTAAAACTGTCCTCTTTGATAGGGCTTATAGTTAGGGCTCAAGTGAGTCCATCCTTAGTTTTGCTGCTATAGATCTAGAGTGCTGGAGGATTCCCATGATGCACTGAGCGCTCTCTCTCTCCCTCCCTCTCCTTCTCTGTTCTCCCTCACACCCTCTTTCAAACCCAAACCAGTCAAGGCAGACGGCCGCCCACCCTGAGCCCGGTTCTGTTGGAGGATTCTTCCTGTTAAAAGGGAGTTTTTCCTCCCCACTGTCGCCGAGTGCTTGCTCTTTGTTGGGTTTCTCTCTATAATGAAGTAAGGTCTCGACCTTACCCTGTAAAGTGCCGTAGGATAATGTATATTAAATAAATCAAATTGAAATTAAATTGAAATTGATTGGAGGAGCAGGCCGGCCGAACACCACCACCACTGTGCAGGGTCCGGCTCAGTTAAAATTGAAGAGAAAAGCATCTGATAATGAAAATGTGCAGCCTAGAAAAAAAGCCAATTATCCTCTGAGCCCTGGTGAGATAATGACTAAAAGAGATGCATGGCGTGTTTAGAGGGCAGGGGCAGAAGATGTAAGACAATGTACTCTAGGTGGATGTTACATTCTCTACCTTGCTGGTTAGGAAATGTAAATTATATGATGTGTAAATTATTCTTCATGTTGTCCTGTCTTCTTTCCTCATGTGTAGAGTGCTGCAAGGATGATGTATTTTTGTAGCATCACCCTTGTTTTCTCCGCCAAAATCCGATGGGAAAAGGGAAAAAGTCTATCATAATAGGATAAACTAAATAAAACATAGAAAGAAATTGTCTAATACTCTAAGTAATATAATATCATTTTCAAAACATCTTATCAATGACAATCATATGAAAAACTGAGATTGAACATTTGATTTTCAACCAGTTTAAGTGAATAGGGTAAAAAGTTATTCTTGTACCCAAAAACAAGGACATGTTTACAGGTTCTAATAACTGCCCTTTTAACCTGTGCCATGTAAGAAAATGGAAAGAAATGTGTTGACCAGGTCTCACAATTCAGCATTTCACTGCACTACAACAGCTTTAATGCAGATGACCGATCAGTGGGTGAGTGATATGAAAAGGATGGTCTCAATTGACCATTGAGATGATCCCAATCAAACTTTCTGCTTGTGGTTTTAATACTTTGACCTGTAACTGAATGAAGAGTTACTTGTCTAATAGAACATGGGACAGTGTGCTGTCCGCCAGGGATGTTCCTTGGGCCCATTGCTCTTCTCTATTTTTGCCAATGATATGTGAGTTGTTGAGTAAAGCCAGTTTAGTGATGCTGACTTGAATGTTCTCTTAGAGAATGAAACAAAATTCATTTTGGATGAGGTAAACAAACCAATGTAGTTCTGAATGTGACAAAGGCTGAATGTATTGTATTTGGCTAAAGCCATGCACTTAAGGAAAGAGAACCAATAATGCATCTCCAACCAGGGCACATGTATACAGCAAATCACTGAGACTGAGGGTCACTGTTTATGGGCAGTTATCATGTCAGAACCACATAGACAAAATAACAGGAAGAGGAACATTTTTTATAAGAAGAAGCTCTGCTTTTGTTACACCATGTACCGCCTTGCAGGTCATACAAACCTTCATACATGTTAACTTATCTAATCATTGACAATCTTGGTTAAAGCAAACAGCTTACTCTTTCCATTTTTACAGTTAATAAATGAAAGAAGGGCCCCTAAAGTATACCTGACCAGGCTACAAGCATGTGCCTGTCTGTTTTTGGGAGGGGAGTGACTTAAAACTCTGCTACAGTTGTTGTTGAGAATGGCTGACCATACAAGACATACAGTCAGTGTTTGAAAGTATAATTATGTTAGCAAATAATAGCCATGATTGTATTACCTCATGGGCCAATGGATAGTTATGTGTCGCCTTTACACGAATCATCATTTTGGGAAGCATTCAGCTCTGAAGTACTCTAATTTCCTCCCATATTTATTGTTGTCAAGCTTTTTTAAAGGATCTGTCCGCTGTTAATGTCAGTTAATTCCATTGAAAACTGCTTACCCTGAGGTCTGTAGAATGGAAAAAACAACATTATTTCTGGAAAGACATAGAGTGTTGCCACTGAGTTCTGCAAATGTCATTTGAAACTAATACAGGAAAATTGCTGGTCATAAAACCAAAACAATGTGCTGAAAGACACTTACATGCTCAGGGGGCCCTTGATTCATTGTAGAATAAAAATGTTGAGTTTTGCAGCTTTAAAATTCATTTCTTTTGCAAAATAAGTAAGATTTGTAATTAATAGAGTCCTTTGATATAAAATGCAAAAATAAAGTCAGATGCAAGTGCTTCATTAAAAAACTTATCACTTTATTTCAAGTATTGAACATTAAGGCAGTGTTTTTATATGGATGTTGAATGTCAACACTATGTCTAAAATGAAAGTCAAAAAGACTTCCCTTAAAACAATTAAATGTATCACGACCATGATTCAAGTTAAATTAATAGGTGTCAGCTCTTGATGACAAAATGAGTGTATGAAAGTACAAAACAATTATTTTCTAAACTTACAAACAAGAAAGTGTACATCTTATTACAATGTCACTTCACCTGTTTGTATTTTTGACATAAACATGTTCACATTAAATAAAAATACATCCTTTTTAAAGTAATTCCAGTCAAGTTAGAGTACTTACATTAAACTGTTATTTTTTTAATCTAGATTTCACACTCTTCACTAATATCATAAAACATGTAAGAAAAACTGTGATTTAACAAAAAGACGATGTGTGCTCACTTTTTGCACATCACAAAATAATTGATTTAACAAACCAGTGGCAGTGAAACATTTCGACCAAATATGTGGCATCACCTGCTGCCATCAGTTAGCAAAAATATACTTTTCAGAAGCACCAATGGTTGCTTGCTTTCATTCAGCATCTGAGAGGATATCTCAGGTGTGTGTAAATCCTTCATTTTTACGAGAACAGATCATAGAGCTGTTCCCATTGGGAGACCAGAGAACAGGGCAAGAGTACAAGTATGTTGTAATGAGCCCTCGTATAAAGGCAAGGCTCTCTCAGTGTGATATCGAGGCTGGAAAAGCATGCAGTCTTCGTGAGTCACATAAAGCTTTTCTTTTCACCACACACAAACGCTTCTTTAAGTCGGGAACAGTTTAACTAACCTTTTAGAAATGATTATGAGGTCCAGGGTAATAGTTTGCACCTCAGGAAATACCACTGATAGCCTGGACTCTGGACTCATGGATTAGAGCTCTTATGGACTTTGCCAAAGGTCTAAAGTGATATAAAATGATGAAAGAGCTTTAGTGACATAGTGACACAAGTGTTTGAAAAACCCAGATATAAATCAGCAACTGAGTAGGAACTAAGTAAGAGTAAGAACTAAGCTAAATTTGTGACCATTAACATACAACCAAAGCAACTGTGAAATAAAGCACTAACCTAACAAGAACGTACACATTAAATTTATATTACATTTATTACACCTCAATTATTGATATCACTGTTGCTACTGATCAAGGTTAGGGTTAGGCTGTGTCTGTGATTCCCAACATCTACATTAAAAGATAAGCCACAGACAATCTGTTGTACAAAACCATGGATACGTTCCATTTGTCTTTCCTACTTCATGTTTCTTTTCCCCCCGATTTTTACTTTAGTTCAGATTTAAAGTTATTTAGAGGAAATGAGGAAAATACAGGAAAGGTAACGGGAGAAGGCAACACAAGTGACCACGACTGGCACAGTCCATTACAGATGAAATGACGCAAGCAGCTTAAAACAGTCATATCACCATGCCTTTATGTGTATCTAAATTTGAAACATAATTACCATAACAACCAAAGGTGTAACAAATCTGGTAACAGTCGACAAAGAACTATGCATCCAGGGTGCCCCAGTGGGTCAACTGGTAGAGTGCGTACCACTTAGGTTTAGTCCTTACCGCAGCGGCCATGCGTTCAAGTCCGATGCATGGCCCTTTGCTGCATGTCATCCCCTCTCTCTCCCCAACTTTCCTGTCCCTATCCAAATAAAGGCAAAAACTGCCTAAAAAATTACTTAAAAGAAATATGCTTCTATTTTTATGGGTACATACAGGCTATAAATTTGGCAAAATAGCTCATCATCCATCAGCCATGGTAGAATTTGCTGATCAGGGAACATGTTTGTTTACTCTGTCTTGACTGCCAACTTCACAGATTTTCAACCTGGTTCCCATCTTTCAATGTTGGGCGTACATGTGTATGAAAGACATTGAATTTTGCTCGATGTCAAACTGCAAAAATCCAGTGGAAGACACATACTGCAGATTGTGAGAGAGGGGTGATTTAACCACATTCTGTACTTCTGCTTTTTACATAGCCCGCCTATGAGGAAGGTTAGCAACACAGTCTATCAGTGATAGAGAAAAACTGATATTAAAATACCAGTGTATACCAGTGTCACAATGGAGTTAGGAAACGTACAGAGTAGAAACAGGCCTCTACTTATTTTGTACCCATAACAGGGGTGGTCTGAGAGGGGCCTTGGAAGGCACTAAGGCTATCACTTTTTGTTCGAAATTCAAACACATTCGTTCGAACGTGGGGTGAAGAGTTCGTATTCGAGTGGGGCATTCGAACAATTGCGGGTCATTTCTAACTTGTTTGTTCTTGATTTTATGGAAAAGTGACAAGTGTGTAATGGATACTGGCTGTTGTATATTGACATCTTTTCACTACATAGATGGCCTAGTTTTATGAAATGACTCCAGCAGTAAATTTCTCCTTAAATCTAGCTTGTTGGACAGATTAGGTTTATTTGGTCTGGGCATTTAATGGCTTTAAAAAATCAGCTTGATAGGATATTCTTCTTAATTTGATGTTTTCCTGAACAAAGCTTTAAAAGGCAACCTCAAAGCTACCTAATGCAGTACTGTTCCAGATGGCAACCTAAATACCTAAAATCACTTTTAGGCTCAGAAAAGAGAAGAATTCCCTTCTTCCTTCAGATGTTCTACACCACAGAGTCTTCTGACCTCTCTAATGCTGCAAATGTACTGTTTGCATAAAGAACTGCAGTATGAACTGTATGAAACAGCAGGCTGCTCATGTCTTTGTCATCCTTCCCAAAAAATTGTCCCTTCTGCAGGGTATCAATGACGGAGGTGTTACAGCTGGCGAGGAGTATGCATGCCCCTATTTCTTTGTATTCCTTAACCAGCCCTTTAAGCGTGGCCATGCCTGTTGAGTCTATGAAAGGAATGGCAGCGCAGTCTAAAACTATCGTGTGGAACTCCAGTTCTCTTTTGACAAGTCCAATAACAACCTCCCCATTGTTTTTATCCCCATTTGCCTTGGCCTGCTTCAGGGACATCTCTTTGGCCTTCTTCTCTGCCTTTCTCCTCTTAGTCATCTCCAAGAAAGGTTCAACTCCAACAGCTTTGTAGAGGGATTTGAGGAAGGTGTCCTTGTTGGCGAAGTACAGAGGAGCTTGGAAGCGGAAGACCTGAACCCGAGGCGGAGGCATGAGGTTTTTGTACTCATCCATATCCTCGTAAAGATCAGAGTCTTTGGCCCGGCCCAGCAGAGAGACCTGACATCAGACATCAGATTAAGTGAGATGAAGAGATTATCAAAAGGTAATAAAGTCACTAAAGTCATTGCAGATCTGGAAATATTGTTTGTATCCGTAATCAAAAACAAGCCTCAAGTCATTTACTCACTTTAGGGTTCTGGGTCTTATAGATGATGCACATCATGGAAAAGACGATTCCGACCAGGAGGCCCAGCTCCACACTGATCAGAGCCGTGGCCGACATGGCGACCAGCCAAACAATGGCATCGTTCCGGCTAGCGCGCCACTTAGCAGGGACATCCTTGAACTTCCTCAATGCCCCCCGAAGGCTGACAATGATGATACAGGCCAGAACACATTTCTGGAGAGCGTAGAAGAAAGGTGCAAAGAAGAGGAGCACGAGAAGGACGACCATGGCGCTGATCAGACTTGATACCTTATAGAGGTGCAGAGAAATGGAGAGAGACAGAGATGGATGAAGAAAGATAAAATACTGTTTGTTTTACAGTGTGTTGCTCTGAATGCTGAAGCTGTACACCAGGTCTCAGGAAAGACTTCAGTGATGTTCCAAGAAACAGTCTCATTATGAAGGAAAGCTAGAACGTAAACAAAAAAGCAAAAACAATATGTGCTTCATGCAGAACCCCTGATTCCCCCTCTGGTTCATCCTTGCAGAGCAAATAAAGGTAGTGAGAATGTTTTTTCCGGATCTTTGTAAGCACGTGACAGTGCGCAAAACATAACAGGTCTATTGTAAACTGAAAATGACAAAGATCTATAGTGTAATTTTGCAAGTGTAGGTGAAAACATCACATTAATGCTTCAAGAAAGAACTCCAAAACAAAGAAAGTCATTAAAAATGGGTTTCACCATTTTCAAAGGGTTTTAAATTTACCTGTGTCTGGCAGCCAGTTGAATCCTTCACCATGGTTTTTGCTAGAGCTGCACTGGTGGTGAAACAGTGGAAGAAGGAGGGGATGATGTTACAGCAGCCGATGGCCAGCATCTCCTGGTTGGGACGAACCGTGTAGCCGTTTTTCTTGGCAAACATCTCGGACAGTGACACAGTGAAGGCAAAACTACGCAATAAAATGAAACCGATTGAGGCTGTGTTAATCTTTGCCCTCATAAAAGCACGAGAAGAACCTTTTAGACCTGCTGTAAGGAATCATTTCAACTGTATTGTAATTGGTTAGCAAATAAGAATCATATTTAACTGTTGTCCTGCAAGAACAAATTTGGCATACAAACGTGGTGTTACATTGGTTGTACATTACCTAATGACAGCCAGAGGAATGGCATCCAGTGCCACTCTTGACATCAGACCAAACCTGGGCACCTGTGGAGGGATGAACCCTGTGGGGATGTGACCAGAAACACTGGAGCCATAAAGACTGTTCAGCTCCCCAAAATGGCTGGCTAGTGTGGCTCCTGCCACTACTACCAGCTCCGTCGGCAGAGGGATCTTCAAACGATCCTTGTAGCGCTCCTGGATCTCTTTCCCTGCCACTATAATCCAAAATTCAGTGTTATTTTCCAAATGACTGAAAAGTAAGAATTTGAGTTCAGGTTTTAATTGCAAATTACCAGTACTTCACGAATTTTATAATAAATATTGGTAATTTTAGAGAAAACCCACTGTATGAGGAATATGTAAAGTAGAGTTCTTTACCTAATATGGAAATACAGATGGCACTGGTGATGAGATCACACAGGTTAGTCTTGTGAATGTTAGCGAAAATGTTGATCCAGGTGACAACCACTGTGCCGTATCCCTGGTGACGGGGAATCTTTAGACCTAACAGGTATTTAGCCTGCACGGTCAGGATGGTGAAAGAGGCTCCCGTGGCAAAACCGTCAAGCATGGGGGCCGAAAGGTATACAGAGACGAAGCCTAACCGAAACACGGCCATCATGACCTGGTGAGAGGATCATAAGAAGGACAGAGAAGCCAATTAAAACATGGAAACTGAAAGACCAAAGCCAAAATGTAGTTTAACAAGATTAAGAATCTTTGCAACAGTAAAGTCAGAATACAGCTATTCCTTTACCTGGTAGATGCCAGCCAGGAACGTAACAGCAGCAGCGATACTGATAGCGTAACATTCCTTCCCGCACTGCTGGCCCATTAGCTCCACAGTGTGCAGTTTACCAGCTGTGAGGTTAGTGTCTATTGAGCCATTAAACACATCAGGAAGTGCAGATGCTTTGAAATCATCATTGAGGTCAAAACCAGCCAGGAACACCTCCCTATCCACCACCTTCAGACAACCAGAAAATAATCAGTGACAAATAATTTCATTTAAGATATTTAAGTACGATCATTGCCACTTCTGATCCCTTACCTGTCCAACCATGAGGCTCATGAGGCTGAAAATCCCAACAGAAACATGTCTGGAAGTCCCCATGAGGAAGTAAATGATGTTGGCATAAAATGAGGTGTATAAGCCATAGATGGGCTCCACGCCTGCCAGCAGGCAGTAGGCAATGGCCTGTGGTACCAAGATGATACCCACAATCACCCCGGACATCACATCTCCCCAGACGTACTCTCTGAGCTTGTATTTAGGCAGCCACTTCACCACAGGGAAGAACCCTGTCAGGGTGGATCGGACTCTGGGTACAGAGCAGGTCACACCCTGCTTCAGCTTGGATTTGAGGACTGAAACTGTGGGCTGTCGCTGGCGTACCCGCCGTTCCAGGAGAGGTGGCAGGGCCGGTGTGGTTTCTGTGACGTTGGTGACTTCCTCCATGGTCTTCAGGAGACAGAGGAGGTAAAACAGTGAGTGGAAGAGGGAGGGGAGGTGGATAAAGTGGTCAGCTGTGCTCCTAAAAGAACATCAAGGAAAAAAGATGTACAGGACGGACAGGGAAAGACAAAATGGAATCAGAATATCAGTGGAGATGACTTCAGCCAATAGATAAGATTGTGTATCATCCTGTTAGGGCCACATTTATACCTTATTCTTTCATGTTTGCTTTGATCTATTTGAATTGAGGGGCATTTTTACATTTACTTTGTAGGAACAGTGCTATTTATAGTTTGTTTCCTCTGGGAGAGCTGCACTGCAGTTTATTTAGATCAAGAAGTGAGACAATGAGTGATCAATCTTAAAACACAATTGCGTAATGGGTATAACAGACTGGTACGAAGGAGTATTAGGGCGATGGATAAGGGGAAAAAAATGAGGAGGAAGTTGTTTTAAATCATGCACTTTATAGAAAAAAAGTTGAAATGTCGAGAATAAAGTCTAAATGTAGAGAATGAAGTCAAAGTGGGTCAGAAGAGGAAGATTTTAATTTTAATTTTGCCTTTCGAGAATAGAGTCTAAATGTTGAGAATAAAGTTGCCATTTCAAGATTTCAGTCGACCTTTTGAGATGACATTAAACAAGCGCGTATGACTGCCTCTACAAAATGCCTTGTATAGATGAACTGATGAAATTGTACTTCAGAATCGGCTTTAGCGACAAAGAAATTCTCTCTGTTTCGGCTCATAAACACAGTGTAGTTGTCAGCATTAGGACTTTGAAGAGATTGTGCCGAAAACTGCGTCTGTTCAGTTGGAAAAACCACACAAGCTTGGGAGAGGTGGCTGCATTTGTGCAAACTGAAATAGCAGGTAATAGACAAATCCAGGGATATTGTTGGTTACACCTGCGTGCAATTCAGAGGGGATATGTTGTATCACAAGACACAATAACACAACTGATCAAGTTGTTTGATCCTGAAGGTGTGGAGCTCAGGCGGGCACGGCTTCTGAGACGCAGGCATTACTGCAACAAAGGTTGCAACACGCTGTGGCACATGGATTTGTACGATAAACTGAAACTGTACGCCATTGCTATCAATGGTTGTATTGATGGTTTAAGTCTCTATGTAGTGTGGATGGAGGTCTACAGAACATATAACGACCCCAAAGTAATAGCAGACTACTTCATCACATCCTTTGCATGCTTGGGAGGTTGCGTGGAGTGATTGCATGCTGACAGAGGCACAGATCCAGCCCTGTGTTTATTATGGAACCACACCTTCTCCGGTTTCAAGTATGGACTCCTGTTAAGTTTGGTACAGATGTTCATGTCCCCCTCAAATTAATTGTAACTGTGATGTTGTCCCATCATCAGTAATATTCCCATATTCCCATCAGCTTTAGCTGTACATTGTGTTTTATGCTAATTAGCGAATGTTAGCATGCTAAGATGCTATACCAGCTATCAGCATGTAAACATTAACACTGCCTCACTGGGCTGCTAGGATGACTGTTGGACTCTTTATCGTGTCACACATTACTGCAAGTATATTAGGCCTACATGGCAGTTTTAAATTCTCTTGAAGTGTGCACTGAAATTCCAATCTTAGTATTATGTGTATGTCAGTATTCACTGACGTAAAATGTCAGTTCTGTTTCTTAAAGTGGTAAATAATATAAGCAACAGATGATTATGCTATGAACATGATCAGTTGGCTTTTAAAACCCACATCTGACACCAAATTACACATCATGGAATGAAAGCAATTGATCAACATATTCATGACTCAAATGAAGGTTGTGACTGGCAACTCACAAGGCTTGTTATGCTCAGGAGCAGCTGTGTGCCTGCTGAGATAACCATGTCAAAGAAACCATAAAACACTTTGCATGACATGTTATCAGTCTCTGCCATCACAGCAACGATGGTATGTGCTGTGATTTAGACTTCCTGTGGGAGCCCTGACAACTCTCACACACAGATATGATAAATGGGATACTTTTTGATCATTTAGGTTTACTTACATCAGATTTGCAGTTGCTTTGCAGAAAAACAACTTGTTTTGCACTGATAACGGATTTAAGTTTCCTCATTCCTCTACTGTTTTTTTCTTCTTTGTTGATTGTTTCTAACTCACTATTTCTAGGCATTTTTACTTTGCAGGACAACAATTGTTCACTTTGCATAGTAATGACCCCTTTAAATAGACCAAAACAGGGCCCAATCTGTGTTCATATGGATCTTAAAAAAACGCATTTGACTTTTTTCATTGATAGAAGCCACAGGAGACGAATAAATGAGGCTATGTAGCTTTCAGCTATATCACATAAAATCTAAGAACGCCTTGCAAAAAGAGAGCCAGAATACAAGAACTACCTTGTATTTGTGTTGAACACTCCCACAAAACAGATTAAAGCTGTCCACCTCAACAAGTTTTCATTCAAGTAGAGAAACACAGACACCTGATTAACTGATGAACAAGGCAGGAGTCATACTGAGAACTTTTTGGAGGAGAAACATTTCATTTATTTACGTGTCAACCATGAACAACACTGAAAACAACTGATTAAAGCAGTTCCTGTAACCCGTTTCTAATCAATCTGTTCCCCGCCTTTAATCATGTGGTATAAAAGCCCCCCACCACTTCTTAGAAATGACCTGAAGGCTTCTTTTGAGGCTGGTGTCCACCTTTAATATATAGTTGAAATCTTTTCTGTCCACTCATGTTAAAAGTCAAAAGGGGCAAAAAATAACTTTCTCTAAAACAGATACCACGTGAACTACCAAAATAATCACCTTAAATCTAGTAATGTTTTCAATATCACAGCAACAACTATTTTTCTTTTCAAATTTATAGTAGTGCATCAGCCTAAAAGTCATGTTTCTTAATTTTGTCTTGAATTTGGCAAATTTGTCTTTGACTGTAGTGTTAAAGTTTGAGAAAAATAATGAATTATTGTTTTTCATTGCCATGTGGAGATATACAGAACATTTTATTGTATAGTTTTTTTTTTAAACCCCTTCAAGGTCTGTCCACACTGTGGTCTGCAAAAGCAAACTACTGAAGCCAGGACTACTTTCCCAATTGTAAAAAACACCAATTTACAACATGATGTAACCATTAAGCAGTAATTTCACCTTCCCCCTACTTTGCTTTGCGGCTGATATTGATTTAGAGAACAGGTAGTTTTGTAAATCATGCAAATAATTAGTTTAACTGAATTTGAAGAGCCAAATAAAGTCATAAGAGTAACACACAGGGCTGGAAACAATGAGTACAACTTGAATGTCATGCTCAAGTGCTTGAATTCAATATAATAGTAAACAGAAGATGACTCATATTGAAAGTAGTAATACAATATATGTATATAGGACTGCATGTTTAATAAAGAACTGACTGTGCATCTAATTCATATTCATGAACAATGTACTGTAGACATCTTTTCTGCAGCTTATCACTGTCATCAACTGTGAAAAAAACTGAGAAGCAACACAACAATAACAACAAGATAGTCTACTCTCTAGTAATATTAGTGAACTATTCTTTAAATGCTTTTCTAAATTTCCAGGTGGCAGAGAAACCAAATTTTAAAACATCATGGTTCTTCCTTAGATAAATCCAAATTATAAGAACACACTGTTCCAGTCACTAAAGTGTGTGATAATGTACTCACCTGCAGAGTCACCACCACTGGGACAAACAGGACCACAAGTCTCTGATGTGTTGAGTTATAATCAGCTCGGTTGACTGGCTTAACCTCTTCTCATTCTGTCTATGTCTCTCTCTTTCTCTCTCTCTGTGTCTCTCTCTCTCTCTCTCTCTGATGTCATTCAGCCATCAGACAGTAGTAGATATGAGTGTGATCTCCGCTGGATAAAAAGTAAGATAAGAGCAGCTCTTTGCTCACCCTCAGTGTTTCCTATTGGCTTGATTACTGGGAGTGGGTGGGACTCTGGAAAGCATATTTGTGTGTGTGTGTGTGTGTGTGTGTGTGTGTGTGTGTGTGTGTGTGTGTGTGTGTGTGTGTGTGTGTGTGTGCGTGTGCGTGTGTGTGTGAGAGGTTAAATGAAGTCAATTTTTTACTGGATCACAATGTTTATCTCTGCTGAAGGCCTGGGGCCTGTGATCATGTTTGCAAAGTGAAAGTGAGCGCAGACTTGTATGTCAGCATACTGTTTAGATACATCCTGTAGACAGAGTGGATTACAGTGCAAACAGAAGATAAGGCATACATGAGGTGCAACAAGCAAAGAAGGGCCACTGTTATCTGTGTGAACTGCGCGGGAAACAACCGATATGTCTTTTATGAATTACACTCAGATCAGACGTGATGTAAGTGTTCTTTGTATTTGTACCTGGACAAAGACAGTAGTAAGTAAGATACAGGTAAAAATATGTAATACTAAAATACTAGAAAATGAAATCCAAACTAATAATTAGAAGCGTTAGCCATGTACCCTAAAAGTTATCAATATTCTCACACTAAGTCATTTAAGAAGTGGCCTTACACACTACTACTTTTGTCATTCAGCCTTTTTATTAACCCCATAAACGGTGCCTCTAAAGGCCTGGAACTGTTCAGTACTATACTAAACTGATGCGTTCACATACCATTATGAATAATGAATTGCATTTGAGCAGTGATGTGTCACTTAGCTAAGGAAAACTAAGTGAAAAAACCAGAAAAGGCAATTTTTATTTTCCCCCTCTAGTGGCAGGTACACTTACTTACAGAGGAAAAAATGTATAAAAAATTAGGTCTCTTTTGCAGGCAGGGATATCCAGAGCGGAGTCTCAGAGCACAGGGCTAGAAGATGAAAACGTAATTCATCATATCTTTGACTAATGTTCTCTCTTATGTTTTCTGTTATTTTACTTTTTCACTTATTTATTTATTTTTTTGCCCCCCCCCCCCTACTGTACTCTTAAGCCAAACAATGTGAATCTGAATGTGAGATGAATGAAACAAAACACTTGTTTATATATAATATGAAATAAGGCTCATACAAGAACTGAGGGTCTGAAATTATTTTATTCAGGCAAAACTGCTGTGACAGACAGGCGGATAAATAGGCTAAAACTAGGATGGAATGGTTTGTGTGACAGAATCTAAGACCAAAGTGGGTCTCAGACTGTCACACAGAGTGGGTGAGTGGGGGTGTCCTTGTGTGCATTATACGCTAGACTGAATGGCATTATTGTCAGTGTTGGAGTGAAGTCGTGGCAGTTAACTTCTTTATCTTCCTCTGATTTCATTAAGTCACAGTTAAGACTGGAGTCACATTTGTAACACACCACCAAAGCATCAAAGAGAGAGTGCAATGCATGTGTGTTTTGTCTGTGTGTGTGAGAGAGAGAGTGCGTGGTTAATATCAGTGCACAATTAGGTTAGTGTCACTTCCTGCTGACACAAACCAAACAATCATAAGATATTAGGGGTCTCTGCCCGGCCTGTCATCTTTGTTGTTCCCTCCCTGTAAAGCTAAAAACCACTCATCCAGTTCCATCTGAGAGGATTACTGCACTGCCCCTTTAAATCCACCAGCATCATCCATCTGTCTGCACGTCTGCTCCACCATCTACAAGCTTCATCACATGTTCATCATGATTTATGGAAGTGAAATAACAGGACTCACCCATAGAGAAGGAGCAGCTTGAATGTGACCTGCGGGCAACATCAGCCATACCTCCCTGGCTGGTGCCTCTCACCCACTATCAGTATGTTTTCCTCTATACTCCACTCTGCTGCTCACTGTCTGCATCTTGCTTCTTCCTGTTTCCCTCTGCAAAGCATGATGGGAGGTGCAACCCACTCTCGTTCATGTCTGCCGATTGGAGACGAGCAGAGGGGGAGGGGAGACAGGAGAGAACATGGAGGGAGGGAGGGCGGCTGTCGGTGATGGTTACCATAGTAACTAAACCCCCGCTAATGTGTGTGTGTGTGTGTGTGTGTGTGTGTGTGGGCATAGATGTCCTTTCGGGGTAAATTTCAAAAACTATTTAAAAAATAGTTAATAAATCATAAAAATATGATCAGCTGGCACCAACATATGCCTGGCTCCTCGGCCCAAGTCTGGCCCACATAATTCCACATTTTGAAAGATTCTGACTGTTATCCTCCCGTATCATGCTGTATAGGGGCCAGATTCAGGCCGTCGAACTGGGCGTATACAGGGCCAGAAGAAAACAAGCATGTGGCCCCTTTTTTTAATATTATGATCCTGTTCCCATCTAAACTCTATACAAAATGTCTTTCTGTGTGAGAACTAATATATCTTGGAAAACCCTGATAGTTCAGCTGGTTAAGAAGCAGTTTTGTTGACAGAGTGGTTGGTTTCAAATCATGTTTGGATCTTTAGATTTAAAATTTGTCTTTTGCATAAAGACACAAAAAATAAATTTTTCTGGATTACATTCTAACTAAGAAACTTCCATGTTCTTGTGTGACCTTGGGGTTGCTACACTATGGTTAGTACCATATATATATCCAGACTAATTATCAATATTTATGCATTAAAATCAGCCATTAATGTTAAAACTTTCTGATATTAAAAAAACACCTTACACTGTGATTCCAAGAGATTTTACAGTAATTAATCAGGTTTGAATTTGTCATTTTAGAGCATTTCATAGTGATATTTCATATTCCAGTATGCCTGTCTGTAGGTGTAGCAGATGTAGAGCTAGTTAAGAAAATGACCCTCGTGTCTTCTTGTTTTTTATCCTCTTCTAATTTGTCACACCTCTCCGATAACCCCATGACATGCCGCCACTTAACCTTCTCTTCACCTACAACCTTTCTCAAGGGTTACAAGGGATCTACAGAAGACACTGTGTACGAGTTTATTCAAGGGGACCATCTTCTACTTATTAACTCATTCAGTTGAGAGCAAACTTCTTCTTGTTGTCAGGGGTGTAAATGTTTAAAGAACATTACTTTTCACACAGGATAAGTCATGCACAAAAAAAACACTTCCTGTGTAGTTGTTGCTCACTTCAGTCGGATGATGAAAGTTGAACCCTTGGTTTAAGTGTTTGAGTGAGGTTAGGTATAAAAAAGCATCCTGTTGACTCAGCAGAACCAATAAGTGAAGTGAAAGAGTCTATGTTTCTTTCTCAGAACATGAGCCTATTGAACCAAGTTTAAATTTAGTAATAAGAGTGCAAGAGTTTGAATCAATGTCCATGCAGCCTGATCCCAATGCCCTTTTCTTTCTTTCTTTCTTTCTTTCTTTCTTTCTTTCTTTCTTTCTTTCTTTCTTTCTTTCCTTCTTTCTTTCTTTCTTTCTTTCCCTTCTGCCTTCCCCCCAACTGTTTTCTGTGTGTTCCCTGTGTGTTATCTGTTTGTATGTCCTATGTGTTTCGTGTGTGTCTTCTGTGTATTTCCTGTTTTAAAATAAAACAGGCAGACAGGGATGAAAAGCAATTATTCAACTGTTAGTTTACATACCAATTTGTGATTCTCTAACTATCCATTCATGAAACCAAATAGGACACTCTGCATACAACAAAATTAAGAGCGATGCTCCTCATTGGTGCATAGCAAAAAGAAAAAAGAAAAAAAAGAGAGTCAAGAAAAATCTAAAAATACAAGACACAGGTTGACACAGTTGAGTGTATTATATTGCACAATAATGAATAACATAGTTAATATGGTATTGCACATGAATAAATAGTGGTGTGACATGAATGGCAGTTTCATTTGGTGATTATTACAGTAGTGGCAGTATTGCACAAAAGTAAAGTAGTCAATGCTTATTTGTGTTTAGTGTGCTAATGGCCTTGGGATAGAAACTGTCAAAACACGCACCTCCAGACTCAGAGAAAGACCTGTAGCACCTGCAGGGGGCAACAGTTCAAACAGTTGGTGATCAGGATGTGTGGAGTCCTTAATTATGTTAGTGGCTCCGCTGAGTCAGCATGAGGGAGTGATGCAACAAGCAGCCAATGGTTTTTAAGCGTGGCATTTTATAATGTAATGAGATGTGCAACAGAATACTTGTCTCCAGTGGTGGAAAGCAAGGCCAATTTTAATTCCTGAAGTTAGCACCCTAACTAGCTAGCCCTGGCCTGTCTCGTAACATTCATATAATCCATGAAATTACACTTCACAATATTCTCTCGCTACTGATTAAATGCAAAGTGACAAAAAACCTGGTTTATTAAAATATTTAAGTATCTGGCTAGGCTAATGCAGAAATAAAGCATGTGATGCTTGATGACACAAATTGTTGCAGTGATAAAGGGGTGCTTCAATTTTTCATTCAGATTATGGTAGCTTCTTTGATGCTACTTGAGTTGTGTCTGTCACGATCTGCCCTCTTAGTCACTTTCTGGACTCATTTCCTGTTTTATTTTTAGATTACTTTCCTTGTGTGTCTAACAGTTTCTGCATAAGTGTGATTCCCGCCTTAGTGATTACCTGCTCTGCCCCAACGAGTTATACCTGTGTCTCGTTACTTGCCCTCCTTGTGCTTAATGAGTCTCTGGTGTTACCTTGTCCTTCCACTGATTTTCCAGAGTTTGGTCCTCATTGATCTAGTGTATCTGATTTTATTCTTGGAAACTGTGTTCCACATGTAAAGATGCCTGTTGTTTGTTCCTGTTCATTTGCCTGCTTTCTCTTAAACTCAACTGCCTGGTTACCTACTCATCTGCATGTAAGCATACTTTCCTTCATTTAAGTATTTGCACCACACCTACCTGCCTTCATGTGAGTCGGCATTTGGGTGATTCTGGTCATGGTCTGGTCCAGAACTCCAACACCTTGACACTGTTTGCTGAATTATATAGTGTTTTACATTTCACCCCAAATATAAGCCTAATTTACTGGAAAGCTTCTGTAATGATACAAACATTTAGAAACATTTGTTT